GCATATTATTTTTTCGTTGCTTCATTATTATCGCACGAGCGCTGGATTGCAGGTGCCTCCTTTTGTTCGTATCGACCGGGAGCTCTCGTATCGTGAGTGCTGTCTGGTGCTTTGTATGTTTAACAGTCTAGATACCTCGACGCTTGTGCAGCTTTAAAACGGATAATCAGCACAACAGCAGCAGGCTGAAGCGCTTAAGAAAAAACACAAAAAAAAAAAAAAAAACAAAAGCGAGGAAAACCCGACAGGCGCGATCGCGCAATCTTCGAGCGGACTGCTCATAAATCATGACTCAAGCTTCCTCTGAAACCGTCTGAGTCATTCTTACAGGTTTGACGAGCAGATATCTTTTGTATTCTCACTGTAATGAATCGCTACAAAAATTCCATTTCTTCAAATTTAAAAGGAAAATTGTTTTAGGATAAGTTTTGCACTTTAATATAAGAGAGAAAATTTGTTTAAAATAATGGTATTGTTGCAACAGTATTTTACGATTGTCACGGAATGCCGGCCGTGCATCCTTATCTAGCACGAATCCTCGTTTCACCATAATTTGAACGTGATGATTTACCATTAAATAAGTAAAATTATGCTGTAAATTCCGCAACGCTGGAGCTCATTATTTGATTAATCGTTACAAAGCTTTGATCGTTTCGAGTAATGAGAATTCGTGTTGCGGCGGAAATGATTTGTCTACGAGTTAGATTTCCAAATGTTACTGCGCGTTGACGTTTGTATCATCCCTACGCTGTGAAAAAAATAAGGACAGCACGCCGACAGGTGAATTTTTTTTTTCCTAAATTTTCCAACGTTGTTTGGAAGCTCGTAAAAATCGTTCGCGTTTCCTCCTCACTTACATTCCGAAACAGAGCAATGAAAAAAGTACAGGAAAAAAAAATGCTGAACTGCTTTACATTTTATCGATGCTCGAGGGTTAATCGCGTGTTAAGCGATTTTCTCACCAGCTAATCGCCTGTGCGAAAAGCGCAGATGATAAATGAGCGCAGTGAGGAAAAGTTATGGGCATAATTGTATGATGGGAACTTCGCGGTCACGTGCGCCACTTTATTTATGAGATGCGGAAGAATGAAGGCATGTAAGGCTCTCGTGTATCATTACTACGAAATGTTTTAGTAATAGTAACGGAAGACTACAATCGAAAGCAAAACTAATAAACGCGATGTCGAATAATAATCTGCAGCTGCGAGAGTTTCATTCGATTTCGAAATTATATATTTTCCGATATCCATACGGGCTAAATGTCGCATTGTAGCTTAACAAATTATGTTAAGCATAATTAGCAAATTATGTTAAGCGTAATACAAGTGAAAATTATTATTTGGATTAGTCGCTGAAATAAACAAAAGTCGCTGAGATAAACAAACAAATAATATTAGTACGAAATTATTTTATGCGCTCTAGATTATAGAATAATAAATTTGCGTCCAGTTTAATTAATAGCATTGTGCGAATTTAATACTTTATGCAAATTTCAAGTCAATTCAATGCAATACGAACGAAACGCACTTAATGATTTATGTGTTACTGCTACGAAAAATGTCGTTGTACTTTTTTCGTGTTCTCAAGAAACGTTCTCAAGAGCTGTTGTAGAAAATGTTACGAGAGAAATAGTGATGCAATGATGCGTAATGGCGTGCGCGACACAAAGAAAATTTCTTTAGCTGATTTACTGACAAATCGAGGATTATTACATAATACAGGCATGCAATTCTAAGTATTCGTCGAACTTTTAAGGATTCTTGAATGTACGGTCTCTTGTAGGTTGCGAAGTTGCAGTTAGATTAATGAAATTAAATGAATACGAAAGTATCGTAAACTTTCCTCGACAAAGCATTAACTATCGTGTATTATTCTATTACGCTCTACTTTGCATTCTATTGCCGTAATTATATATCGAAAAGAAGAAACTTTACTCGAAAATAAATTAGAGAATTCGAAGGTAATTATCTGACATATTCTTTGAAACAGTTTGCGCGTCAGCGAAGCCTTACATTGAAACACGTAGCGATTCCAATGGGAAATTCTTATCTGCAAAACATCTGCATTAAATCCCCGTCAATCCGACAAATCGAATCTCTATTAACGAAGGAAAATCAAATTGAATTCATTTCGCACTTCAAGAACGGCCAGTCCCCCAACAGCTCTCGTTGGGAGAAATCGACGCGCGCAAATTCATCGTCGTGATGTCTCATGCATCTCAATGAGCGGGATTTTGAGAGTAAAGTCATCCTTTTCAGCACGAAAATGTAACAAATTAGCTACGCTCAAAAACTATAAACGTAATCAACGCCAAAATATAGCTGATGCGGGTGGCGTGCCTTTGTATAAATATGTCACGTTGCCATTGCGCGGATTTCGGAATTGGCCAATTAACGATGAGCGTGCCGCAAAAATCAATATCCTGATTGCGCATTAAATGTTGTCGTAAACTGTATTTTTAACTCTTTCACCTTTATACATTCTATTAACAATAACAAATTTTTTCAATCTGCTATGTAGTAAAAATAATGAAACATATCTTAAAATTTGTAATATTATCGTAAATATTATAAGATGCGCTGTTTTCTCATTAGAAAAGAACAGACTAACTTAACTTCGAAAATAGATATTCCGATATTTGATCAAATTATCGTGAGAGTTTGCGGTGAAGATCGATCATTTTGCGATGTTTGTGAATTAATCAGAATTTATATTTGAATCTCACTTCTATAGAGTATTAAAGTGAAGAATTTACGAATAAAAATCATATAAGCTCCTAAAATTTACTCAATAAAGAAAGTAGTCTTCTTATTCTGTTCTTTCTTTGTTCAATCTTTATTCAAATATAATCACAAGATCACATTATGTAATAGATTAAATTAATAACACTGTCTTAATGCTAATATTAACATCCGATTTGATATTATTATAACTCATAATGCATTTCTCATCTTGCGTCATAATCTAATTGTTTTATTTCAACTTATCAATGATCCCGATATAAATCGCTCCCACATTGTAATTCGCAAACAAATCTTGTTTTACATATTTACAGTAACGCAATTAACTAACAGGGCTTCATTGTGAGACGGATAAAATTACTGACAATTTAAATTACTGACGCGAGTGAGACGAATAAAAAACAGTCAACTAATCGAAAATACACTAAATGACACGAGGTAAACGGGGACCATGTATTATTTTACTTCTCTGTAATTTACATTTAATTTATCGAACGATAAATAATTTAATGCGCGATAACAAATTGTTTATCCTGTCGTTGTTTCCGTTCAAATTCTCGTTTTAATTCCCGAATATTATTTCCGCGAATGGAACATTATAAATGACACCTGTCGTACATTATCGATGACACGAGGAGTTGCGGTTGCTAAGAAGTCAACATTTGAAAAGTCACGTCCGTATACTTGAAGAAAATTCTCTTTCGTGGATTACACCCCCCCCCACCCCACACACCACACACACACACACACACACACACACAATATATATATATCGCGCCGTTCAATTTATGGTCGATCGCCTCGAACGACTACACCTTATTTTTAACCCTTTAAAGCAACGTCAACGGAACCGGCGCGTGGTCGTTCTTACGTGAAAATTGGGGACAACAAGTCTCGGCTTAGTCGCTCGACAATCGCTTTAATTGACGCAGACGAAACGGCGCTCGATTAAAGATGAGAATTACGATTGCGATAGCACTCGCGCGGTGAGCCGAGTCTATCAAAATCAACTACGCGATATGAATTATATCCATCCAATATCACAAGGAGATGTAACTACTTTCGAGATGCAAAGTAAATCCATGTATGTAGAACGTTGCTGATAGAATTAAGTTCAATCTCGTCTAACTTTGATTAATAAAGTACGAACTTTACACGGAAGATCCAATGTCGATATTGTGTGTTCTTGGGGAATTTATTAATTAAAAGTAGTGAAGTAGTGAAGAATAAATTTGGCGTCTTATTTTCTGGTGATTGATGATCTTTTCCCAGACGTTGTGAAAGGAATGCGAAGGGATGCGTGAATGACTTATTGCTTTCGAGTGACTTCCATATTTTGATATATTATGTCACTGCCGTTCTCAGTGACATTGTATGCCTAATTAAGATATATCGCAGAATTATGTAATTAAATTCAATAATATCATTAGTATGTTTTAACTGCTTTAACATTTTCCTTCGTCAGTTATTTGTTTTTACAATATTCATAAAACTCTTCTCCATTTGACAAACATATTTTTTTTCGAAAATACAACACTCCCGTGAACTGTATTATTATAACAAACAATATTTAAAAATTGTCGTTATTGTAGATATAAAATACACCGATATACATGATATCAGTATCTGTAAAATAGTGAAACGTTTATGTTTGGTATCTTTGATTTTTATACTGCAAAGTTTTCAATTCAAAACGAATATATCAAATTTGATAACAGAACTGACAATATTGCTTTTGACATAATATTTAATTTGAAAGAAGATGTGAAGAAAAATTGTATAAAAGATTTTTCAAGAAAGCAGGATTTGAATTATTTTCTACGATTTGATAAATATGCCTACTTACTTATTCATCACTTTCTTATTCATCACTCTCATTTCATTTATTGTTCGTTGAATTAAAAAGAAGTACTTGAAAGGATTAAATTTCCAAGAGAATATTATCATCGTTTATTCTACGTGAATCTAGCAGATGTTGAGAAGAAGAAAGGTAAACGACATAAGAGTATTATTAAATTAAAATAAATCAAACGCGATAATTTCACAATTAATAAATCTTTGCCTGGAGTAAATTTGAAATTACGCTAGCAAATATTGCTACATAATATTGATAGATTTGAAAATTATTTGATCGCAGCCATCATCAAGACAGAGATTCAAATTAAAGTTTGGAGGGCGGGCAACCCCTATGACATCTCCGGTAAATCCAGCACAGTTAATAACTTCGCGGATATCCCACCGGTGATCTATTTTACTCACTACGAGCGGATCCGAACGTCGTCCTGTCGCTGAAAACGGAAGCAACGGCTCCGCATTATCGTCTCCGTGTGTGCCGCTGTCTTTCCCTTCTCCGTTTCGCGCTCCTCCACGATGAGACTTCACCTTGGCCGCGGGTTTTAGCCCACGCGTTCCTTATCCTCTGTCCTTTCTCAGCGTACCCCGTTCGCTGATCTCTCTTTCTCTTTTTATCCCTCTTGTCCGATCGCACTACACCCGCGGGGCACAACACACGGTACCCATGACGACGTGTTCTCTCTCTTAGCACTTATTTAATATGCAGCAACTCCGCGCTCGTCCGACACTCTATCGTCCGATACTACTCGTCTCAGTCGAGGCGATATTAATTAAGACACGCGCGAGAGACCACGCGGGCTGATGCGCTCTGCTCCAATTTTGGCGCCAAGTGAGCGCGGACGACGAACGAAAAAAACCACCCTCTCGCGACGAGACTCGGCGCGTTACTGACCGTCCGCAGTGGAGGTGCAGGCGGCGGCGCACGCTTTGATGCCTTTGAGGCAAGCGATGCCGCGCGCATGCGCCGTCGCCGGTAAAAGGCGAAAACGCGATCGGCGTTCGTGACGTGAGGCGCCCAAGGAGCCGATTGTGACCAGCGATAGAGGATTTGGAGGATTTCGGAGAATAATGTCGTCGTGTTCTCTGTGGTCCCATCAACGGCGAAACGGTATTTAACCCGTTCGTCGCGCAAGTTGAATGTGCAAATAGCGTTATGCTCAACCCGGACTTCCTTTTCTCCCCCCTCTCCCCCCATGGTGAATGATGGAAAGTGTCAGGTGAAACGTGACGTTTAAGACGCATGTCGCTCTGTTTGAAATATGTTTTTTCCTATTTGCTGTCGCCAACACTCGTGAAAATAACGAACCGACGATGATTAATATACGCCAAACGAATGGATATATATTTTATGTACGAGGAAATAGTGAAAAAAAATGTTTAATTTATGATAATTTTATTAATGCGTTTATTCGGATTCGAATACGTTCAAACGACCTGGTTTTATGCGTATAAAAATATTCGTCGAATTTTTCGTAAGATCTCAAAACGAGAGTGGAACTATATATAAACAGCAATTCCGCCTTAAATTTGTATTTATAATTAACTTTTTTATTAGAAACTTGCAAATAATAGTAGTAAACATTGCGGTCAGAACCGGCTGGTTCTTTCACAACTTGCCGGAAACGAGGATCGAGAGAAGATATTACTAGTTGTACATGTATTACATATTCACACGCATACCGATTTGTAAAGCAGAATGAAATTCTGCCAGTAAAAGGCGGAAATCCACGGCAGGATGATAATGGATATATAGCGCAATACCTATTGTTTTCTGACAGATTTTCCTAAATAATTGCCTTTGTATGTGCAATTGTGTGTAACAATTGTGATCGGTTACATCCGACTACAAAGGTAACGAAAAACATCCGTACTAAATAGAGACTTTAAACAATTTGCGTTCCTAAACTTTAATATTAATTTATAATAAATTACAATGAATAATAGCAATAATAATAATAGCAATAATAATAATAATATATTGCTATTATTTAAATGTGCATTTAATTATTCGCTCTTAAATAATATAATTGATCAAACTTGAAGAAAAATTGAGAATTAAATAATACGTATATGTGTAATATTTTCTATAAAAATATCGCCACAGAAAATGATCAATGCTGTGAAAACATGTGTCTCGTAGTTCGTTTCATATTTTTCTTCTGATTGACTCGAGAATGCGAGAGTTGACACGAGAATTATTCGCAAGAGGCATAGCGAAACTCAAGCTCATAAGCTCAAATTACACAGTATTTTTCCGCAGGCGCAGATGGTAATTATCTGTGCGAGTAGACATATACACGGGCAGATACCGCGAAAAAAATACAAAAGCTGTCGGTGTGACGTACACCGTTATGCTTGTCTCTTCATTACAAGCTCCGTCTTCGAAAATTGGCACGTGTAATCCGGAAACCACGAGCGCAACGGCGATGACCGTTCTTATGACTCTTTTACGTGCGTAAAAGCCATAAGTTACATTAATCTTGTCCATTAGACAAATTACTTTAATGAAAAGTTGTTTGTTTTGCATCGAAAATGTGTTGTTAAAACGTGAACAAACTTCAAAATGGCAGCCTAAAGTGTGCTCCAAATTCTTCGGTTTAATTTGCACATCTTAGAGAAACGATTAAGAGTATTGTAAAGTGATAAATTATTGACTTGTTTTTAACAATGTAATTCAGATTTTTATTTTATTAAATAAAGCTCAGCAATCTAAAGATAGAAGTTTAAAAATCTAAATCTAAAGGTAGAAATTTGAAGGTAGAAATTTGAAGAATTGCAAAAGCAGAAAGAGTTTTTCTGAATTTTCGCCAAATCGCAGCTCAGTTTGTGTTTTCAATTTTCCACTGCATTCTTCATGTCGTTTCACGCGATGGCGATATGCAAGGCCATTGTGATTTTTATTTTTTGCGTAAATCACATTGCTGACGACCATGTGTGACGGCAAGAGAATGCACTTTTCCTGCGCGCCTCTGTTATGTACACACTCTTTATCGTACGTGTGCGCGATAAAACGCGAAAATCCGCCGCACATCTGTAACAATGCATGACTTCCTGGTTACGAGCCGTGAATCCGAAAATCACGTTCACTGGATTCAGTTATAGTGATAACAAGCACCACTTTATTTCAGCATCTCACACTTCAATCTAGTGGTAAAATAGTCCTTGCTCTGATTATGCTATTTCTCAAAATACTACAAAATTATCTAGTCCGTTTAATAAGTTTATTATTATTATTATTATTATTTCTTTTACCACTGTTGTTACAATTGTAACTATTTATATTCTTTGCAGTATTCATTTATCATGAAAATTCACACACACACACACACACACACACACACACACACACACACACACACACACAATCTTGCGCGCGCGCGCGCGCGCGCGTGTGTATGTGTGTGTTACATTGTCATTTTTCTTTATCTATGAAACTGATTTATTTCAATTTCAAACTAGAAATACATTAGATTATAATATTCCATATTTAATGAATAACATTTTCCTAAATACTTTAATTAATCTCTGAACTAATTTTTATCTTAAATGCTATATATGATAAATAAAGTGAAATATGCAATTATGTATATTAAACATAAGTTTAATTTAAAACATGTAAATTTCACATTTTAATAATTTTATTTTAAAGTACTTAAACAGTTTACATATTAATGGTAATTACACCAATCAATATATTTTAATTTATTATTATTTTAAAATTAATAAAAATAACAGAGATCATCTAATTTTCATGAGAAAAATAATATAAAGAAAATCTAATTGTGTACATATAATCGAGTCTTTTTATATATATATATAATTGATTCTAATATTTGAGCAACATTTGATTACATGTTCACATTGTCATTATAATTATATAAAAATCTTTCATCATAAATTACGATTGAAAAACATAGTAGCAAAAATTTACGAGAGCGACCTTAGCCCTTCAAATATTATCATTATTATACTACTAAAACTTCTCTTTTAAAGTTATTGCGCGTCAACGAAAAGTTTAACGGCTCTCTTCCGCTGAAGTTTAGTTTTGTGGTTAAAATTTTCACTCTATACATGTTACACAAGATGCATTAAAACGACCGAATATCCCGCTAACTATACATTAATCTCATGAGAGTTGAAAAGATTGATCAAAGAGAAACGTTGAAGTATTTATATACGTTAGAATAGACAGTGCTTACATCGCAGTTACATCGCATTTCATTGTTATATTTAGCTAAAGTTACGTGAACTCTATTCCCTGACTTTCTACGAACAAAACCGACAGCTATAATAGCAAACAGCGTCACTAAGCATGAAAAATGTAACGACCGATTACAGCCTCAGTGCGCAAATTACATTGTAGTTTTGTATAGTCTTAAAGATTACTACAATTACAAAACAATAGTAAAACGAGTTTCGCTGGCCCATTTTTTACTAGACTCGAAAAAATGAGCCTCCGCTCCTGGATTATCCGTTGATTTACATGATAAAAGGTAGAAACAAAAGAATTATTCATTCGCTTGTCGACTTGTAGATACAAGCGCATAAATTCGCCTTGTAAGTCACGTGAAATGAATCGTGAAGCGAATAGTTTGATGAGCATCGACGAGTGAAGTGTCAGTTCATTACGCAATCTTACTATCTGATTTATGTAGGCAAAATTGATATCTCATATAAATCAGTCTTACATACACTCTGCAAGTGTTCATTTAAGAAACTTTTTAAATTAATCAAGAGGCCAGAAATAATGATAAATGTCTGTTTATTACGTAATGTAAATTATCTTTCTTGCTATTTATTACTATTTTAATTACTTCCTTTAAAAACAAAACAACTTGACAAAAGATAGTATAGCCTTTTATACTATCTTTTTACATTATTTTCTTACTATTTTTTCATAAAAGTCTTCACTAGGTAGATATCAGATTTTTGCTACAAAAATGTTCCAAAATAATTTTAATATACCTTGTACTTAAATGTTATATATGTTTATTAGAAAAAAATAAAAGGATGTTTTATATAAAATAACCTTTACCTTTTTAGTTAAAAATTTTATAAAAGATTTTTTATT